GGGCTTTTGACACATGTTACAAAAGTATTGCATGGTGGTATTGATATGGTGTAATGGATTCAAACTTCTGCATAGGAATTAAAATAAAGACTATGACAAACCACTGAAACTGGTGACAATTTGAAGCCAGTGTAGTTCATACAAACTCACCATGAGCTGCAGTGTGAGCTCAGCCCAGAAAGCAAATGGAATTCTGGGCTGCATCAAAAGGAGTGTGGGCAGCAGGTCAAGGGAGGTGATTGTTACCGTCTGCTCTGCTCTCATGAGATCCACCTGGAATACTGCACACAGTTCTGGTGTCCTCAACATAAGGAGGACAAGGAACTGTTGGAGCAAGTCCAGAGGAGGCCACAACATTGCTAAGAGGACTGGAGCATCTCCCCTATGAGGACAGGCTGAGGGAGTTGGGGCTGTTCAGCCTGGAGAAGAGAAGGTTGTGTGGAGACCTCAGAGCAACTTTTCAGTATCTGAAAGGGCCTACAAGGGAGCCAGAGAGAGACACTTTATTAGGAGCTGCAATGATAAGACAAGGAGTAATGGGTTCAGACTGAAGGAGGGAAAGTCTAGATTGGATGGTCTAGGAAGGGTGGTGAGACACTGGCACAGGCTGCCCAGGGAGGCTGTGACTGCCCCAACCCTGGCAGTGTTCAAGGCCAGGTTGGATGAAGCCTTGAGCAACCTGCTCTGATGGGAGGTGTCCCTGCCCAGGGCAGGGGGTTGGGACTAGATGATCTGTAAGGTCCATTCCAGCCCCTCCAAACATACTGCACAGGTTGAACAGGTAAATGTGTTATGACACAAAACCTTATAGCAAAGTGTGTAAGTACAGTACTATGTCGCAGAAACTCAAGGTTTGATTTTTAGTGATGGAAAAAAAAGTGTCTGCCTCATACTGAAGAATTAGTATATCTTCCCCTTTTTGAGTGGAAAATGTACCTTTAGAATAGCAACCTCTTCCACTTGTGCTTTGCTGATAAATATCTGGAAAAATATCTTAATTTTTGAAGTTTGCGGCAGGCATTTCGAAGGGCATATATTCTTGTTTTATAAGCATAATGTTTGAAACCTTATGAATCTAGACTGGGTAATCTTTGTTTGCTGTTAAAATGCTTTATGTAAGAATGACAAGAAGCTTTGTATGAGTTGCTGTACTGATGCTGATTCTTCTCCTGTGTTCTAGTATCTGGAGTCAGTTCGGCCACTTATGGATGATGAAAAGTTCAAAAGAATGGAGGGTCTTGCCAAAGATTTTGCATTTAATTTGGGACCAAGGCTTCAGTGGTATTTGAAGCTAAAATCCTGGTGGGCCACAAATTATGTGAGTAGATAAATAGAAGACTCAGTCATTCAAATGACATAATTCATTCCCTGTTGCCCTTTTTGGCTTAAATTTCATTATTTCTTCAATGTAAAAGAAGTGACTTGAAGCTGCCAAATATTTTTGTCAAGAGCATGTGACACCATCTGATTTTGCACATAAATAATTTGTTCAGTTTGGTAAACAAACACTGTGGTCAATGGAACTTGAAAGAATGAATCCTCGTTTTGTGTTTGTTATTCCGGAGCAGGTGATTTAGCTTTTGCTGTTAGGATTGCTGTTGGGGCCTATTTGTTTGCTTGTTGAGCTTGATAACTCAACACAGGGCCTGACTACACAGGTAGTTTAGAAGGGTCATTTAGGACAATTTATTTATACAGAGCAGCTAAACCTTATGGAAGAAAAAGAATTGTGGCAACAAAGTTGATGGTCTGCTTTTTCTTTTTTTTTTTTTGTGTCTTACCAAAAAGAAAACCCAAACAGCAACATCAGAGTAAGAATTGTGTCATAAGTCCTTCCTGATACATTCTCTAATATATATCTGTAGCCTAAGCTGTCTTGGCAAAGGCTGCAAAGCATTCAGGAGATCTGATATGTTTTAAATATCATGTGAAGATTATGACTCCTTCAGAACCTTATCAGAGAGCTATATCTGAATTTAATTTCATTCTCTCACCCCTTTCTTTCTGGTTTCCCTGACGTTTGACACAAATCAGGGTTTTTTTTGTTTGTCTATTTTCAAGTACGAGGGCAAACTAGCAATTTCCTTCCTGCTTCTGTTTGGAACGTTGCCTTGTGGAGCAGTTAACATAGTAGACATAAACTGGAAATCACGAGGTTTTATGGCTTTTGTTTTCCTTCCTGCTGCAGGTTAGTGATTGGTGGGAAGAATACATCTACCTTAGAGGACGTGGACCAATTATGGTCAATAGTAACTATTTTGCAATGGTAGGTAAATATTATAAACATCTTGTGTGTGAAGCACTTAACATTTCTGCCATGTGTCTTACGTCGTGATATCTTTCTCCTTAGAAATCCATTGCCACTAAGTATGTAAGCTTTATTTTGCTTTCTTCTAATATTACCTGCAGCCTTAGTGTACTTACTGTATTCAAGTACAGTGTGTTCTTAGTAACACACCTAGCACCTTGCACATTTCAGCCAACATGTGCAGTAATGACTTATATGGTTTTGTGCTTACTGTAGCAAGTAATAGTTCAAAGCCTCCACGTTAAACTTCATGGGTGTAACAGTTCAAGGAGATTTGTGCTCATACTTGCAAATGTCTCTACAGGAAGTGAAATTGTAGAAGACTCTAAAATTAAAAGCAAAAAAGAAATATGGTGGTCTTGGATCAACTTTTATGTAGCGTTGTCTTTCCTACTGTGATGATTAACAGCTATCGTGTATGTTTTAGGACTGATGCTGTGTAAGGAGATTGTGACTACTGAGGAAATTTAAGTTTTATGTTATCAATTCATTGCACTGATGAACATTATATGTCTTAAAGCCTTTTGTATAATGTCAGGAATAAACTTTATGAATGTGGATGAGAAGTACTATCAGTGGGTATTTTAAAATGTAGTCTGATAATCATTAACTTAGGATTCTTATCTACTTTACAGGACTTCCTTTATTTATATCCCACAACCTTGCAGGCAGCTAGAGCTGGTAATGTTATCCATGCCATCCTGCTCTATCGGAAAAAACTGGACAGGCAAGAAATCAAGCCAGTATGTATATCAGTTTAAATGGCTTTTGATCTTTCTTCCAGCACAGTCTGTGAGAAGTTGATCAGTTTTCAGAATGGGAGAAGAGAGGAATGTCTAATTGTCAGAACTATATGTAAGATGCAACTAATTTTTGTGGTCCCAATCATCTTGATTATCACTTGAATTGCACGTGGGCAGTAATGACCAGCTATCAGAAATACAGGATTCTGTTATGCCAGTGAATTGCAGTAGTTGAAATTAGTGTTGTAACCACCCAAAAGACAAGTAGAGATTTGTATTTGCATGTGTTAAGTATTCTGTATAACAGATGTTATTGGTATGTGCTAGGCCTCTAATGGTACCTTTGAGCCACGGAAGGCTGAAAGGTCTGTGGTGTCATGTAGTGTGAGCGCACAAGGTGGTTGGGACAAAGGACTGGAGGCCTCTTGACGACAAGAGTGGGCCAGTGGGAGCTTAAGCATAGGTGATGATGGAATCCTGTGTTGCACTAATTTTTAGGGATCAAAGATAGACAAGGTAAGTCCCATTTTGAATTTCTGTTCCATCCAGTGTCTTTGTATTGTGGTGAACAAATATTGTGGAAACAAGTCAGTAGTTTTGTTCAAGGTCATGGCAGGGATGTGATTAGTTGTAAGTAACTAGAAATCTGATAAACATGAACTTTTGTTTCTGCACATCTAAGTTTTGCATCCAGACCAGCCATTGAGAGCTTTTAGGATTTCAGGTGCTACCTAGCTTCAGCCATCCCTCCTGCAGGGTGAGCTTTTGGTAGGAGGGGAAGAAACGATGCTCCTGGAATGTCTGTGGAATCGTCCACAGTATAGTTCAAGGAAAGACAATGAACAGAGAGGAAAAAAACAACACTGAGTCAGTGTATTATAAATCTTACTGTTCTGCAGTCTGACTAGATCCTGGTTTCTTTTTTGCTTTATTTTAAAAAGTGCTAATTGTATTTGCAAAATCTCATTTTAGTGTATATTTGTGTCACAGATTCTCCTGATGGGATCTACTGTTCCACTCTGCTCAGCTCAGTGGGAACGCATGTTTAATACTTCCCGTATCCCAGGAGAGGAATCAGGTAAGCCAAGACAGCCAAGGAGAGTAAACCCCTTCATGGAGTTCAGGACCTGGGGTCTTTCCTGCTAAAATCCTGGTTTTCCAGATAAGGATCTGGCTGACACAAGTATACATCTATGCTGTGTTCCAAGACTCAGGAAGTAATTAATTGCTATAGAGGTCTTAATATCAAAGTGGCATTTTTTGTTGAGATTTGTCTTCCTGAGTTCTGTCACTATAAGAGGAGGTAGATTGCATCTAGAAATACTAACATTTGTAGTCAGCTGATGGAAGAAAACATTGCTATTCACTTTCTTATTCTTTGAGAAGTAAACTACTAACTTCCCATCAGATTTTAGTGGAGATTTCTGCTGTTGTGTTTTCTACAGAAGCTTAAGCTGTATCCAGACGTCTCTGATCCTGTGCTGAAGAGCCTCTTAGAACTGAGTTCACATGTTTATCTAGCACTGCATCATTGTGGCTGCACCCTAATGAACTGCAGCATCTGTCAGTTGTCCTGACTGTCATGATTAGTGCAGAGGACAATCATTAGGAATTTGAAATGTAGAGTTTATTGTTTAGTCAGCTCCATTGGGAGTGTACATTTGAGCTGTCACTTGAAGACAGGAGATTTATTTTTACTTTCTTTGAGTCCTGTAACTCACTCTTATGTTTCAAACTGCCTTTGAGCGTGTTACTCCCACTCAACTACAGAATTCAAAGCAGAGAGTTTCTAAACAGACACAGGGATGTTGCCCACTCCTCCCTGCTGGAGGTTTGACATTTGCTGTCCTGTATGAAGTTGGATAAGGGGGAGAAGTGACATTGGATAGTGGATAAAGCAGTAGGTGCATGTGTCAGATAAGGACTTTGCTCTCATTTCTGCTGCTGGCCTTTGCTAGATTATTCAGGAATTGTTTTTCCAGCTATGCCTCAGCTCTGTTTGTCTGCAAAGTGAAGAAAAACACATTCCTGATGTGATTACTCCCTGTCATGAACTAGTAGCAGTAGATGAGCAGGTTTTAAACTCTGTTGGACAGCTGTAGCATTTGAGCAACTATTATTTAAAATACTTCAGGTACTGAGAGTGCCCCTTCCAAACTCAAGCTCTGCCAGGGGAGGTTTAGGTTAGATGTTAGGAAGAGGTTTTTATGGAGGGAATGATCAGGCATTGGAATGGGCTGCCCAGGGAGGTGGTGGATTCACCATCCCTGGAGGTTTTCAAGCTGAGACTGGATGTGGCACTTAGTGCCATGGTCTGGTAACCATGGTAGGGTTGGACTTGACAATCTTGGAGGTCTTTTCCAGCCTGGTTGATTCTGTCCAGACCCCCAGGTCCCTTTCTGCCTGGTGCTCTCCATCCACTGTCCTTAGCCTGTAGCTCTGCATGGGATTGTTATGGCCAAAGTGCAGGACCAGCACTTGGCCTTGTTAAACCTCATCCCATTGGAATCAGCCCATCTCTCCAGCCTATGCAGGTCCCTCTGCAGAACCCTCCTGCCTTCCAGCAGATTGATACTCTCTCCAATTTTGTGTCATCTGCAGACTTGCTGATGGTGCACTCATGGACAGCCAGAGACATGATTAGCATGATTTGCGTAATACTGCTTCTGATCAGTAGATGGAGCATACCTACCAACACTTTATAGGTAGCTGAGAACAGCCAAAGTACAGAACTCTTTTTCTCAGATCTTTGACATTTAGGCTCAGCTCTTATTTTCAACATCACCTTTCTTCACCATCTCAGTAAAGAGTCAGAGTTATAGAAATATAACAGTTCTTTGGGGCAGTGAAGGAATTCAATTAAGAGTTTTCATCAGTTGCAGGTTTTTCTGGCTGCTGTAGAAACCTTCATCTGTGGTTTATTATAATACCTTGATGACTAAATTCAGGCTTATCCCAATTAAACCATGTAAATAATAAAATGAAGACAAAAATCTTGACCTAGTTTTCTGCTTCACTGACATCCATAACACTACACATTTTGGCCATAGATGGAGCATTCACTCTGGATAAATGTGAAGAAAAGCTTATGGTACTAAATTTTGGCTCTCTTAAGACACTCTACAGATTATGCCATGACTTGTCTAGCCCTTGAATGCAAATGATTTGCAAGTACCTTTCCTCAGACTCATCTAGCAGGTTTTGTTGCTGACTGCTTCATCAGACTGCACTGCTAGTGCTCACTTTCAGACACAGAAACACAGGTTTAGGTGCCTCCAGTGTGGAAAGTGGTAGTGCTATACATGCAAAATGATTGTCAGGAGTCTTTGTGCTGAAATAACATTAGTTGGTTGGAATAACTAGCAGTGCATGCATTAAGCATATTATTTAGTGCATTGGTGTTTTGAGACCTGAGCTTGGTTTTCATGCAAGTGCTTGCAATTCTAGATACTCTGCAGCATGTGAAAGACAGCAAACACATTGTTGTGTATCATAAGGGACGTTACTTCAAGGTGTGGCTGTACCACGATGGCAGATTGTTGAAACCCCGAGAAATTGAGCAGCAGATCCAGAGAATCCTTGATGATGATTCAGAGCCTCAGGCTGGAGAAGAGAAACTTGCAGCTCTTACTGCAGGAGACAGGTATGGTGGTGGTTACTTCAAAAACAAATTTAGGATTAGTTGCATAATGTTCTGATTGAATTTTGTCTTTGAACTTTTAAAATAGTCTGCAGTCAGTTGTTTATGCCTTGGACACTGATTTTGTGTGTTGCTGATGTGTAACAGTCATTTGTAACTCTCTGGAGTTAAAGGAATTTTGCAGTGGCAATTCTGTATATGGATTACCTATACTTAGCTGGAGAAGTTTGATTTAATTGTGGTAGTCATAAGAGTGGTAATTGAAAGTTGTACAGTGTTACATATATTGAACTACTTGAGCTTAATGTCTGCTCTGAGGTTCACTGGCGTTTTATAGAGTATCTTGAAAATTATGTTTGAGAATAAGAATTCAGTTACTGTTACTCCAGTTCATGATTTGCATCTACACAGTAAAGCAGCATGTACTCAGTTGGTTTTAGGTGCAAGATCACTGAATGCCATTAAATTGTGGCAATCTGTCTAGTTATTTCTGAACAAATGGAGAGAAAGAGCTGTGGATTTTAATATACTTATTTACTAGGGGTCCTTCCTTTTTTCACTTTGTGCTTTTAAACAAACTGAATTATTTTTCATTGGGAAAAATCACATAAATTTACAGCTAAATGTGGCGCAGCTGTACAGAAATTACACTCACCACAACTTCTCTTCAGATTTCTTTCAGGCATTTGCCATAGAACTTTTTACTGACTTTTATAACAGTCCAGACTTTTAGATTTAGGTGTTACAATGATGTATATTAATATCTGTTGATTGTTTTAATACTTATTCCTATTGTGTTCTTCCATGAAATAGATATTTTCTCTTGTTAGTTATAAATGTGGATGATCTATGCTGTAGCTATTGCAGAAATTTTGAATTCCTGAGGATTAAGCTTTACACATGTGTGATGATGTGTTGCTAGGATTACCTTCTACAAGTATTTTGAGAATTTTTCACTGCTGATATAGTTTAAATGCCATAAAATTAGTTGCTTCACATTCCATAAAAGTGGGAGGAATGTCTCATAGTGATCTTAAGGGGTAATAAAGCATTCACAAATTTATGTAATCTGGCTATAAACCAAATTTTGTTTTACAGAGTACCATGGGCTAAAGCTCGCCAGGCTTATTTCAGCCGTGGAAAGAACAAACAGTCCCTAGATGCTGTTGAAAAAGCAGCATTTTTTGTGACATTGGATGATGTCGAGCAGGGGTACAAGAAGGAAGAGCCAGTGAAGTCACTGGATGCATATGCAAAATCATTAATACATGGCAGATGCTATGACAGGTGCAGTATTAACTCTGGAAAATGCCTTGTCTTCTTTAGAATTTGGCTAATCCGTATGAATTAGTGACTTATAAGTTGATAAATTTCATAGAATCACAGAATGGTTTGGGTTGGAAAGGACTTTCAAAGGGCATCTGGTTCCAGCCCTGCTTGCAATGGAAAGGGACATCTTTCACTACATCAGAGTGCTCAAAGCCCAGTCCTGCCTGACCTTGAACACTTCAAACTGCAAGGCATCCACAACTTCTGTGGACAACCTGTTCCAGTGTCTCACCACCCCATTGTGAAAAATAGTTCTCCATTATGCCACATATAAATTTACCTTTTCTGTTTATATCTGTTTCCCTGTGTCCTGTCACTGTGAGCCATGGTAGAGACTTCCTCAGTTTTCCTTATAAGTCTTCTTTATATATTGAATGACTGCAAGAAGCTGTTCCCAGAGCATTTTCTTCTCCAGACAGAACAACCCCAGCTCTCAGCCTTTCTTCATGGGGAAAGTACTCCAACACTCTTACCATTTTCTTGACTACTCTGACCCAGTCAAACAGGTCCATGTCTGTTTTATACTGGGGACCCTAGAGCTGGATGCAGCACTCCAGGTGGGGTCTTACCAGAGTCACCTCCCTTGACCTGCTAGCCACACTGCTTCTTATCAGCCCAGGATATTGTCTTTCTGGGCTGCAAGTGCACATTGCCAGCCCACGTGATATTTTTCATCCAATGGTATCCCCAAGAGCTCTGCAGGGCTGCTCAATCCTTTCATCCCTCAGTTTGTTGATACTGGGCATTGCCCTGATGCAGATGCAGGGCCTTGTATTTGGCCTTGTTGAACTTCATGAGGTTCAAATTTATGTCTGTTTATTTAAAAGGATAAGAACTGGTGAATTTGAATGTGAATTTTTGAGAGAGGGGAAGTTACAATACAAAAATGATTTTGAAATGTGCAAAACCATAAGGAAATTTTAATTTCTTTTGTAGGTGGTTTGATAAGACATTCACTCTTATCGTCTTCAAAAATGGCAGAATGGGTCTGAATGCAGAGCACTCTTGGGCAGATGCTCCTATTGTGGGACACCTGTGGGAGGTAGGTGCTAGTACAAAAAGATACTACAGAATATAATGTGGTGTGGTCCATGCAGCAACCCTGAAGGTCAGCAGTTACTTTCAGTCCCTTACATTCGTGTCACTGATGAGTGATTAGGGGCCTATGTCTATAGCAAATGTAGAATTTAGAAAAGATCCCAGACCCTCAGCTCAAAATGCTGCTGTTCTTTGAAGGACAGTGTTTTAGTGAGCATAGATGTCCTCACAGAACAACGATATAGCCCCCCATCAAATCTGTTTGTAGTATTTTAAATCCAGAGACTGTTGCCTCTTTGATGGGCATTGTATTTTGTGTCTGTGCATGCTGCTGAAGCACTTAGGCTTTCTTGTGCTCCAAAACACTCATGCTTGCTTTCAAATTGTAAAGGAATAGTACAGAATTCAACTTTTCCTCTAAGCTGTTGTTTGATGAGCTGCAGATTGATGTGCTGTTTGCATTGGCTCATGTATTTATTTGCAGTGAATGGAATAAATGCCTTGTCAGGTCTGTTCATCATGAACTTAGTTTATTTAATGTTTTTCTTTTTTTTTTTGAAGCTTAAACCCCTAAACAGTTATGTGACTCAAATCAATCAAAACTTATCATAAAGAGTAGTTAATTCTGATTTCTTAGAATCATAGAATCGACCAGGTTGGAAAAGACCTCCAAGATCATTGAGTCCAACCCTACTGTGGTTACTAGACCATGGCACTAAGTGCCACATCCAGTCTCACCTTGAAAACCTCCAGGGATGGTGAATCCACCACCTCCCTGGGCAGCACATTCCAATGCCTGAGCACTCTCTCCATAAAAAACCTCTTCCTAATATCCAGCCTAACCCTCCCCTGGCAGAGCTTGAGTCTGTGCCCTCTTGTCCTGCTGCTGGTTGCCTGGGAGAAGAGACCAACCCCCACCTGACTCCAACCTCCTGTCAGGGAGTTGCAGAGGGTGAGAAGGTCTCCCCTGAGCCTCCTCTTCTCCAGGCTGAACACCCCCAGCTCCCTCAGCCTCTCCTCATGGCACTTGTGCTCCAGTCCCTTCACCAGCCTCGTTGCTCTTCTCTGGACCTGCTCCAGCCCCTCAATGTCCCTCCTGAGCTGAGGGGCCCAGAACTGAACACATTTCATATGTATTTGTGCAAATGGGTCTCAAGTTTAACTGGTCCCTCAAGTAATTTCCTAGTTTTATTATAGAATTATTCTCATGTGTGTAAGAACCATATGAAAATCCTCATTGCATCCTCTAGTCAGGAAAGAAAGAAGGCCAAACTGACTTGAAAGTGCAGTTTAGACTGTCTCAGTGAAAAAGGGTACTTGATTTTCTTTTAATGAATGATGTTATATGCTTTAATTCTGATTTCTGTACTTAATATTAGTTACTTCACTTTCTGCTACGTATTAAGATGACTGAAATAAAATAGGGTTTAGTCTTCTAGAAAGTTATCTGTTGTTAGGTCTTTACAGATTGTCTATTTTAGAATAGAATGGACTAAGCTTTATTTCATAGTTGTCATGTTCTGACCACGAAGAGAGAAAATAAGAGAAAGATAAGAGATTGAAACTAAATGGTTGAGCTTTTTCTTTACGTATTGAGCAGATTCAAATCTGTTGATGATTCTTTTTGTTTGTTTGTGGGTTTGTGATTTTGGTTTGTTATTACATTGAGGATATTTACTCGATATCTTTTAAGACAGAGCCTTTCATTTGTGTTGTTCAAGTTGTGTTGCTCATCTTGGAAACATTCTTTCCTGCCCAAGTGCTCTAGGGCACATATGAAATAAACTGCAGTTTTGAAGGGGATGCAAATCTTAAATATTACTGAATTCTTGCTGAGATTTGCACTTACTCTGAAATAAACTATTTCTTGATGAACAAGTTTTGACAGATAACAAACTTGCAGAAGTTCTCAAGAACCTAAGTTAAACAAAGGTTGTGAAATCTGAGTTTTGTTGGTTTTTTTTTTATTTCTCGTGGGTTTTTAATTGAAACATTTTGATTAACTCAGTAGCATCTAACAAAAATGCACCAGTGTAACTGTGCAAGTGTTTGGTGCATATCTGGGATTCTTCCCACTCAGAAGACAAGTAAAAATGCCTTAAAATAAGAGGTGAAACTGAGTGCTTCACTTGCAGTTATTTTTAGTATTTGGAAGTGGATTGTATATTGTATTCCACTATGTACTGGAGATAGGTTATATGTATTTCACAGGGAAATCCTCATTCCTTATCAATAAGTAATGTGTTGCAGTTCTGAAGAAGTGTCATTCTTTGCAGAATGTGATGGCAACTGAGTATCTTGAACTGGGCTATTCAGAAGATGGGCATTGCAAAGGAGATACCAACCAAAACATTCCTATTCCTACCAGGCTGCAGTGGGAGATTCCAGAAGAAGTAAGTACAGAAGGTCTAGTGGTTTGAGGAAGAAGCTTCTCTTTTCCCGAGTGGTCAAATCATTTACACAGTTACTGATACCTCTATAAATCAGCTTTAAATTTGAGTCCTATAGGATATGTATTTCATGTGTAGATATTGCTCAGTTTACTTCAAAAGTCAGGGGGTTTTAACATCCTTCTTTAAAAATTCTGTCTGGGCAATGCCAGCATTTGACTAGAAGCTTTCTTGGCTGGCAATACCTGAAAATAAGTGCCCATCTATTTTAGATAGTGACTGCATTAAAATGAAGCTGAAGTTGCTGAGATTTCATTACTGTTGTCACAACAAATGCTTTTGTCTAATAGTTTCTTGAGACTAGATGTCTTTTTTCTGGGTTCAAAATTCTATATGCATGCCTAATAAGGTTTGATTTTTAAAGATTTAGTTTTTTCCTGAGTTCAAGACAAACTGCCACAACCTGTTTAGATTTTTGTTGAAAATAAAGTGGGTTTGGTTTTCTTGGTTATGTATTCAGTGAAGCATGTGTGGCAGATTGGAAGCCACACAGCTATTGCCCTTCTATATCTATTGGTCAGTCTTTTATGTTCTGGTGATCTGAACAGTTTATTGCTGGTGGGTTTTTTTGAAGTGCTATTTTTGGATGTGTATTGACTTAAAAGACTTTTCTTAGCTTTTTGAATTTTAATTATCTGGCCAAGATAGCCTCCTTTCTCTAAGGGGAGATTATTTAAGGCAATGATGTTTCTGGCATGCATCAAGGCAGCATTTCTCATTTATCCATTAAAAATACTTGGACTTTTTCAGTAGTTGTCAATGCCATCGTATGCATGTGTGTGTGAATACAGGTGTGTGCTCATTTGTTTATCTGTTTGCTTATTTAAGTGTCAAGAAGTGATTGAGAGGTCTCTGAGTACTGCTGTAGCTCTGGCAGATGATGTGGAGTTCTGTTCATTCCTCTTTGATACTTTTGGGAAAGGACTAATAAAGAAAGCAAAAACCAGCCCTGATGCCTTTGTGCAACTTGCCCTGCAGCTTGCTCACTATCGGGTAAGAACAGACTGTTTCTGGCTTACAGAATCTCATTAGATTGGCTGTAACTTGTTTGTGATTAAAACATGTGACTGTGCAATGTTGCACTGCCTGTACAAGGTTGTTAAAGACATTCAGTGGAAACTGGTAAAATCCCTAAACAGATTGCCAGCTGGAGATTAATTCTCCAAAGTTTGGCATTTTGACACGTGCAGATTTTTCTCTTCCGCTTAGTTGGTGTATCTCTAGGCATTTTGGACTTCAAAGAAGATACAAAACTTTTAGTAGCTGTTTTTATAACCTGAACAATGTTAAACTTAGCTTTTAGTTTATCATCACACATAATTCAGTACTCATGGACACTCCCTAATGGGATTAACAGCAATGCCTACCTGTGTTTTCTTCTGTTAGTTGACCTTTTCTATAACTTGCTCTAGCAACATGCAGCTTTTATTATAAACTGAAGAAGATTGAATATAAAACTTGGAAGGTAGTCCTTACTGGTTCTGTTAGTGTTTACCAAATCCTACTGCTAATCTTATTTTTGCCTTTATTATCTTCAGGTAAGAGAGCTAATGGTGGGCTACAAAAAACTTAATGTTGACCTGAATTTGTGTAGTGCTTAGCTTGAACTGTTAATTAAGAAACAGGGGCTAAGTCTGGCTAAACCTTTAAGTTGTTCTTTTTTCCTTTTTCAAGGACATGGGGAAATTTTCTTTAACGTATGAAGCCTCCATGACACGCTTGTTCAGAGAAGGCAGGACAGAAACTGTTCGCTCATGTACTGTTGAATCAAGTAATTTTGTTCAAACCATGGAAGACCCGACTGAAAGTGTAAGTGATTCATGTTGTTGCCTTTTACAATTGAGAGAGTAGGTTTATATTGGATATCAGGAAGAAATTCTTTACTGTGAGGATGGTGAGGCACTGGCACAGACAACCCAGAGAAGCTGTGGATGCCCCATCCATGATGGTGTTCAAAGCCAGGTTGGATGGAGCTCTGAGCAACCTGCTCTAGTGGAAGGTGTCCCTGTCCAGGGCAGGGGGTTGGAATGAGATGATCTTTAAGGTCCCTTCCAACCCTTAACATTCTGTGATTCCATGATAATTCATAAGGCACATGAGTTACCACTAGACAACCATATAAGTCCCCAAATAGTTTTTAAGTACTCAGACTGATGCTTTGTGGTTTTTTAGGAAGGAAGTGCAGCATAAGGTAATTGTCCATGCTTTCTGTCAATACAACAGAAATTCAAGGCCTTACTGAAAGAGAATGGCAAATATACCATTATTTGCAGTTCCTGAGCTCCAGGAAACTGTGATTACGTGTGAAATTTTTGTTACTTGTAAAACTCCAACATAGATTTGTAAGACAAGTAATCTCATACTGGTTAGGCTTTCCTTTCTAAGAGGGAAGCAGAATTGTTCATTCATAGGAAGTAAGCCATTGCTCTTATATGTTGATTTTGGTGACCAGAATTCATGGACCCCTATACCTGCAATGTTGTCAATTTGCTTTCTAAAATAGCTGCTGCAGTTCCATCTTTTCTTAAATCATGTTGAGGTTTGCTCTGTAACACTTATTAAGAGCAGTTCCTCTCTGCATTGCATTGTACTGGACCCTGAAGCACTCAAGGCTTGAGAGCCATTGTTGTAACTTGATTTTTGCACCTCCATCTTCAACCCAGGTCACTCAATTGATTTTTCTTAATCTATTTTTCAATGTTAGAATGAAAATAAGCTGAAGATGTTTCGGCTTGCTGCTGCCAAACATCAGCACTTGTATCGTCTTGCCATGACTGGTTCTGGCATCGATCGCCATCTCTTCTGCCTTTACGTCGTGTCCAAGTACCTTGCTGTAGATTCTCCTTTCCTTAAGGAAGTAAGTGACTTTTGGTGCTAACTAGTCATTACAGCAAATAATCCATTGTTTAATTAGTGTTTTGCAGTATCTGCTTTACCTTCTTGTAGAACTCTGAGTTTCCTAAGAGAAAAGTTCAAGTTTTAGCTAGCCTTGTTTAACATATGGTGATAGATTCTAAGTTAGCTTCGTTTAACATTATGCATGCATTTGTCAATAGACCTGTAATGATGCTTTCAGTGAGCTTTGTAGTATAATACATCTTATTAAGAGCTGCAAGAAGGATATAGTCTGTTAAAAAACATAGATTGCTTGTGGGTTTTGCATATTTTCAAGGCAGCACAACAGACTCGGGTTTTGCATATTTTCAAGGCAGCACAGCAGACTCTGTATGTTTTCTCTCAAGAATGTTCTTTTGGAACTGTGACAAATTCACTTTCTTGTAAATTGGTGTGAGTTAAAGGATCTGTATATACCATTAATGTCACTGTGTATTACCAGAATGAATTCTTTATTGCCTAAACTAGATTTTTAAGGTTGGGTTTGGTAAAAATAATTACATTACACTTGTTCATTTTTTCTGATTAATAAAAAGTGTGTTCCAGCTGGCCTTAAAATTAAGCTGCTCACATTTGTCTCTTTGCTCTCCTAAATGTGACTAGTGGCTAAGTGAAGAATAAAACAACTTTCTACAGCTTCCACAGGCTTCCAAGATACATGTGTATTGCTAGAGATTTTGCAACTTTCTAACTTGATTTACTGAGATTTGAATATGGCTCATAATGATCTTGTTAAAACAAGACCTGTTATGCAAAATTTACCAGGCTATAGACCAGATAATCTTGTTTGAAGCAGCATTTCTGTTGAAATTCTAGTTTATTCTCCTTGAGGAATTGGCATCACTACCTCATATGTTCATGGTTTGCATATTAGGACATGTTAAGCTGGTTTTTTAACCTCTTAATCGTTGATTCCATTGCAATGGGAACTGGAGTTATCCTTAATATTGCTTTATTGAGTGTTTTCTACCTCAACTTGGCTACTTTTTGAGCAAGTTGCGTGTTCTTAACCAGTGTGTTAAACTTATTTGCACCTCTTTCATATCTCCTAAAGGTTTTGTCAGAACCTTGGAGACTGTCAACAAGTCAGACACCACAGCAACACATTGATCTGAAGAAGAACCCAGAGATGTTATCCTCTGGTGGAGGGTTTGGCCCGGTATGTTTGCTAAGTACAAGTAGCCATTAAAAAACAGTTTTATTTTGAATCTGTTGATCTAAAAATTTCAGATCTCTTAAGACCTTAACCTTGCACATCAAAGATGCAACTCCTGCTTTTAAACACATGTGTTTAATGCTTCCTCATGATGTGAGTGGTTTCAGGAAAATCTGCATTGCCTCTTTTTTGCTATCCCACTACAAGAATGGATTATTCTGAAGAAAATACACATATAAAATGTGGTACAGGGCTCCATGGCAGAGAGATCAGATAAAGTTGGGGCTTTTATCACATTACTTATGCCCAGACCTACTGTCCTTCAGGCTATTATACATTACTTATGCCCAGACCTACTGTCCATCAGGCTGTTACTACAGTGACAAGTGCCTTATTACTTAAACTAGATCTTAAGGTTGAGTTTCATAGAAGTACGTACACTTGGCTTGTTCTTGATTGACTGATAAATGTGTTCATTATTTCCTCCAGATTAAGCTACTCACATTGTTCTGCTTGCCCTCCTAAGTGTGAGTAATAGCCAAGTCAAGAACACAGCTGTGTTCTGTGGCTTCTGTTGACTTCCAAGACACTAGTGTGATGTTAGAGATTTTATAAGCTGCTTACTTGCTGGAACAGTTTACTGGAATTTGAATTTGGCCACTTGTAATAATACTGGTGTCAATAAGATCTACTAAGCAGCCTTTATGGGGCTGTAAGACTAGATTAATCAGTTTTCAAAAAGTATTTCTATGAAAAGAACCACGAGAGGGTCACTGAGCTGGTCTTTGCCATGCAGAAATTAGGGTGACAGATATTTTGGCTGGTTTACCAAGGTGTAAGATGGGAGTTGTAAAAATTAGTGTGATTTGTTTATTCATGTTTCTTTTCAGTAGTTCTCAAAGATGGAATGAGTTTGAATTGCAGGATCAAGGCAGTCTAGCTCTTGAGAGACTGGCTTGCTCCAACTGGCAATAAAGTCAAGATGCAGAATTCTCAGAAGGGTGTGATCTAACAGTAGAATAGGATTTTGGCTGCAGGAATTTCTAACACTTTTTTTTTCTCCTTTTGTTTTTGCTAGTGCTACTTTAACTGATCCCTTAATATTTCTTCATTCCTTTCATTTCCTTCCTTCAGTTGTTGGCATTTCTAAACAACCCTGCTTACATTTCTCTTCATCATTTCTTGTATCCCTACAGAAACTGTGCTTGGTTTGCTCAAGTAGGCCAGAGGTTCAGTACATCAGGCTTTCCATGGATGTGTTGTTTGTTGGTTTTGAAGGGGGTTTTTTTTAAGCACTCTGTGGAATCTATCACTGTGGCACCAAGGGTGGGCACCAAGACTATCAAGGTGCTTTAGCAGCAGTGGCAGCAAAGGGCTGGAAGGTAGTGATGCTTTGAGTTGGGAAGGAGACAAAGAAAGGTGCAGCAGATAAACTGTATTTAGGCATACTTGAAATATAGCATCAGGGTGAAACTTGGGACAGTTAAAGCTACTAATGTTGAAATTGGACCAAACTTCTGCTCGTGATGCAGGTGTTCAGAATCCTCTATGTGCCTTTGGGCAAGTTTTCTTAATACAAGCCTTTTATGCTCCCTATTTATATACTGTATTTGTTTACATTTGCAGAATAATTCCATGAAACAGGATTTCCATGAAACTATTTTATTCCTTTCTACTTAAGCACTGAAGCTGTATAGCTGCTTGGGACCAGACACTGATAAGAAAAGCTCTTTGAACAAGTATTTTAGTGCAAAATACTAAAACTGGGAAATATTACAGACAAATATTCATAAAATTTTAACTCCATGCACCTCAAATGAGCCTAGAACTATTCCTGAAGTGGAATCAGTGCTCGAAAATTGTGCATTAAATGTGGAAGCTCAAGTTTTGCTTGAAGAGAAATTTAAAACTGCACTCTGAGAACTCTGTATAAGTTGATTTGGGACTGGAAGGAAAAAGAAAGGAAAAATAAAACTTGTTTTTCTCTTTTTTCTTTTCCTAGGTGGCTGATGATGGTTATGGTGTTTCTTATATTATCTTGGATGAAAATTCCATCCATTTCCATGTCTCCAGCAAAATATCTTGTTCTGAGACGGTAAGTCAGTCCTTTCCTATGGTTCAGTAAATCACTTGTGATATCTGCTTAGAAAACTGTTCTCCTCATTGGCTAAAAAAATGTAGTAGAACTTACAACATACTGTTATAATGTGTTTTTCTTTCTCAACATATGCTGTTTTCTTTGGGGGTTTTTGTCTTCATTTCTAGAAGTCGAATACCTTTGTGAACCAAGGATACATATTCTATTTCACTTACACTTTCAAACATAAAGAAAACATGTGGCTCAGGGTCATCTTTATATGTGTAATTCCCTGAAACTCATGTAAAATATCTCGTGTGTGTCCCATAAAGAGTAAGAAGGGCATCTCTTGGGTTTTGGTATTACAATTTTGCTTTGATTTGTGTCTCAGTTGTAAAGTCAGAGTAAAATGTGTGCTTGTTAAGCACTATTATATATGTATATATGTATATATGTATTATTTAAGTCTGCCAAACTATTTAAGTCTTCTTGTTTCAAATAATACTGAAAGAAGCTGCCCATAAGTTGTAATCTGTGCTTGAGAAACATAGTTAATCAAAAGTTTGTTAGGATATAGTAGGTATCATCTGCTCTGAGTGAGCTTCAAGTCATCCTTCCCCTTTATATTTTTATGACGCTAGTAAACATGTTGAGTTTGTTCAGGATTACTTAGCTAAACTAGTTTTCCTCTTTTGACCTTAACTTGTCCAAGAGATCATGGTGCCTTTGGTTAATCATTAATGATTAGGAAATACAACTTTGTTTTTTTCATAGCTGAAATTGTTCTTCAGGTGCCTGTTAGTTAGTTGTACTTTGAATTTCTCTCTGTTCTTTTTACTTATTAGTCAAGTCAAAGGTCCGTGCAGAAAAGGCAGCATTTCATGTCTTTGTAGGTCCTGCAGTGTAGCTAATAATCTTAATTTCTTTCTTGTGCCATTCCTCTAGCACTTAAACAAAATAGGTTCGTAGTTTGTTTGCACTTAGAAGATTGTTATTTTCCCTTTCAATACATGCATCTCATTTCAAAAGGGACATGATCTCAGTCCCATCTGTAGGAAAGGAAATGCACAGTGAAGAACTCATTAGTCAGTAATAGCATAAACCTGGGTGAATTTATATAGCATTAATATATCTGTTATTTAAATCCCCTACTATGTCCTAATTCCACAAGCTCCAAAAATACAAAGTGTGAAAAGGTTTCTCCTTTTGCCTAAAATATAACTGTGGATTGGCAGTAAAAGTCTTTGGTTTTGTTTTGTTTGTTTCTGAAGGATTCGCATCGATTTGGACAAAACATCAAAAAAGCAATGGTTGACATCATGGGTTTATTTAGCTCAAGTAAAAACTGTACAAAGTGATACTCATTCTTGGTGCCAAGAAATCTCCTGTTGTTGGGATGAGAACTCTTCTGCACGGTGAACGACAGCAAGGTTTGTCCAACAGTAGCTGGCGAAGAAACTGAGTCAACACCTTCTTGATCACCTGTTAAAACCTTCACAGTGTATTAAATGTTTCTTTGGGTTGTTTTTTTTTCAGTAGTCCAGAAGAGTTTATTTCCACAAAGGATGACTTTTGAAATCTTATATGTTTCTAGGGATGAAGCATAGTATCATTGCATGAAGTCATGTGTATTCTAACTTCTGCAGTATTCTCTTCATTTTATACACTTGCTCTTTTTTTTTTACTTAAAATTAGTTTACTTGTTTCCAGAATCAAAGGGATAAAACACACCAACTTAAATACTAGGAAAAGTTAGATTTGCTATGTATTAAGAGCAGAATGTTCTTCAGTGTATCTGCTGCTTTATGTAAATGTGTGACAAAACTTGTGGCTCTTTGCCTTGATTGGTTTGTTTGTTTGTTGTTTGTTTTTCAAAGGTAAATTCTGTAAAACATACCAAAAAAAATCCCTGCTGTAAACCCACCTTAACCTAATAAGTTGTAGAAATTTTATGGTTTTTGAAAAAAACAAAAAACAACCAACCATCAGGTAGTTCTACATTGGGCAGTAAAATGTGTCACCTAGTGAGTAGGTAGCACATTTTTCTTTTCACTTACAAGCACATTTGCAATGTGGATTTTATTTCTGTCTAGATAAATGGACCTGTGTGCTTGTTCATGCAAGTGCCTTAGAAAAACAAAGATCCTTAACCCAGGAGAAAAACCGTGTGCTGGGAGGTGATTTGACATTGGTTTAGTGGTGAAGGAGCTGAAATATTAGTAATGCAGAGCAGGTTTTCAAATCACGAGTTAGGATAGCAAAGATCAGTCCCTGTGAAATACAGGACTAACTTTGTTTCAGATTTACAGATATCCCTGTGTGTGTTTTGGTGAATGGTATTGGTGGTCACTTGAGGTCACTTGAGCTTCTGGGTCCCAGGCAATGTGTTGGACAGTCTCCAAAGCAAGGCTGGCTGTGCAGGCTGATCAGTTGCAAAGTGCCTGATTTCAGCCTGGATGGAAACGCTACTGCATTGCCAACCACCTGCCTGAGAAGGGCAGGCTGTTAAAGCCATGGAAAACAGCTCCAGAACGGGAAAATCATGGGCTTCTTGGCCCCTTCCTGGAGATGCTCTTGGTCAGGCAGTTTCTAAAGATGATAAGGAGGGAGGGGAAAGGTATTTCACCCAAAAAGGAGCATGATGTTTGCCAGTGCAGAACTAAAACGGCTGCTACCAAACAGAGTAACTTTGTGCATGATGCTTCTCTTCCCCAAGCTGTGTAGGTGTGTAACTTATCACACCCTGCAGTGCTGTAAAGTGCACTTGTTAGAGCAACATTTCTTTTCATGGTTAGTTTTTTATGCAAGGTACATGATGTTTAGTAATCCAGCGAATGCTGCTCCGGAGCTGTGCTGATTTTGAAAAGACCCTTGGGGTGGATATAAAGCTTCTTGTTAGACTTTGAATGTTTTCTGGCCAGTATTTCTAACTCTCTCTTCATTTTTGACTCTGATTGAACTATTAAAACACCTGTCTATGTATGTTTGAGGTGGGAAAGATCTAAGATGCACATTTAAGCCACTGCATCCTTCCATAAATGTGGGAACCACTATGGGAGTTGGTCAGATTGGTTATTGATTAGGGTTACAGTGTGTGGGAAAGGACACATGGAAATCAGCCTTATTGCAGCTGGCACACCTGGCATTTATCAAACTACTGCAAGTTTTATAGTGATCTCTTCTTTTTGGAGCTGCAGAAATAATGCACTGGGGTTTTTTTGGGGTTTGGGGTTTTTTTCTGTTTGGTTGGGTTTTTTTTAATTGACCACTGACCAATCTGTACTTAAATTAACATTAGGACATATTAGCTCGTAGGATTTTCTTTGTTACAACAAAAAAAAGTTTAGATTTGACTCTCAGGTTTTAAATGTTATGAGTCTAATTGTAGTTAGTGCAGTTATCAATGCAATTTTACATTCTTGGAGAGTATAATTGGCACAGAAAGCTGGTTTTTATTGTAAATGTTTAAAAGGTTTTGTGGTGTTAAATGTATCTTTTTTTTAAAAAATTTTGGAGTAGATCATAATTCCTAAACAGATAATATTTTATTTCTTTTTCTTTAAAATGCAGCAGCATGTAAATAAAATAAGCTTTTTGGATGTAAATCTTAGAAATTCACAGTGAATGTAGGTTATTAATAAATAATTTAAATTTTTATGTTCAATATTGTTTACATACAGTAAAACTGTTTGGGGTTTTGTTTTGGTTTTTTTGCTCAAAGCCATAGGAATGTAACTGAAATGACCTAGATTTGAATGAATCTTTTAGTACTTTAAAGTCAAATTTTCATATCCCAGTAAAAAAATACTAATTTGTTACTAAAACCTTGAATCATTAATTCTCAATCAGTGATTTGGCAGCTCAAAGTTAGGGTTGGGGAGGTGGTAAAAAGTCAAGTCAGCAGATGATCTGTTTATTAAAGAGCAATGTGGAGTTGGTGGATTACCTGGAATGTGCATGTTTCACACTTACTATTTCAGCTATTTTGTGGCAGAAGTTAGGAAAGCATTAAATCCATTTAGAAGGTAATATTGTTCAGGGTTAATCCTGTTCCCAACTGAATATTCTTTTAAGGCTTGAAGTTTTCTGAGGGACTGGGGAAGTGTGTGCCTGACCTTGAAAATCATGATTCTAATTCAGCCTTTGTACCAATTGTTTTCTCATGTAAAATAGATTAATTTAAGCTAGAGGGTTTTTTTTAATCTTGTTCAATTACTCTATATCTATGGTTGGTTATTTACATCCAACACTTTGTCTCTATTTTCTACTTTCTTCTGTGACTTCAAAAAATAAAATAAAATTTCACAATTACCACTACCTAGTACAATGTTTAATATCTTTTGTGTCTTCTTCCCAACTCCCTTGGTGCAGTTTCTGGTCTTGGGAAATCATTGCTGTTAAATCCAGTTAGGAGCAGTAGTAGAAGACTATTCAGTTTGTTTTAGTAGTGATTTAAACATTTGCTATTTTATAGGGAATGTGTTAATGGACAATTTTCAGGTTTAGTAGAAACAGGAAACAACGTAAGTCTTACTTTGGATGAGCTTTCTTCTTGAGCTGTAGATAACTGCTGGAATGTTTCTGTGGAACACTGTCTGCAAGCTGGTGGATAGCCCAAGTGAGTAATCCATGCAATATTAAGGGCAAGGCATTGGACAACTCGTTCAGGCATAGAAAGTTATCATTGTTAAAATGTTATTTGTTTAATCTGAAGATTCTAGTACCTGAAAACTTCCTTAAAATTGGATTCTGACTGGGGACTGCTCTGAGACAGCTGAAGAGGATTATTTGACCTTTTAAAGGTTCACACCCTGGTTGTTAAATTCATAGAATTTTAGGGGTTGGAATGGACCTTACAAATCATCCAGTCCCAACCCTCTACCCTAGGCAGGAACACCTCTCACCAGAACAGGTTGCTCAAGGCTCATCCACCCTGGCCTTGAACACTGCCAGGGCTGGGGCAGCCACAGCCTCCCTGGGCAACCTGGGACAGTGTCTCACCCCCCTCACAGGGAACAACTTCATCCTAATCTCTCACCTAAATTTCCCCTCCTTCAACTTGAACCCATTACCCCTTGTCCTGTCACTGCAGCTCCCAACGCAGAGTCCCTCTTGGCCTCCCTTGTAGCCCCTTCAGATACTGAAAGTTGCTCTGAGGTCTCCACACAACCTTCTCTTCTCCAGGTGGAATAGCCCCAACTCCCTCAGCCTGTCCTCACAGGGGAGTTGCTCCAGTCCTCTTATTAATTGCTGGTCAAGAAAAAAATCTCCAAACAACAACATACACACAGACCCCACCAAATTGTTTTGTGTTATAGCACATTTTCCCAGTCACTTAGTTTGTTGCCTTGCTCTGACATTTCAGCCTTTGCTACATGAAGGAAAGTGCTGATTTCAGTTTCACACTTCATCTCTAAGGTACTGTTAGTTCCTGATTGTATTTGAAACAACTCTTACCAAGGCTGAATACTGAAGTTGTAAGTGAATCTATTCAATCTGAACAGAAACGCTGTATGGAAACTTTCTAGGCACAGAAAATACTGATTTTTTTTTTCTCCCCTCTTTATCTGTTTATAAGGGGGGCAGTTAAGAGATGAAAGAACTAAAAATACACCAACTATTAGATTAAAGCTTTGAGAGAGGAGGAAAAGGAATAGGGGCTTTTTTTTCTTTTGTTTTCCTTAACTTTAATTGGCTGCAAGCTCATGAGCTGGAAGATTGTAACCCAAAAAATGGATTCTGTTTTCTTCTTGAATTAATTGTGTGGCACCTTCTGCATGAAAGGTAGGTTGAATTTTTTGGGATGTCTTTAGTTGCTGTGTCTTTTTTTTTTAACACAATATTTGTAAAAATGAAAGCATTAATATTTTTAAATGTAAAGTCCAGGTTCAATTTCTGCTTTCAAGGCAACAGTCTTTCATCTTAAATGGCCACAGGGGGTGGCCTGGTAGGTTTGGAGTGTTTTCTAACTCTGAAATCTTCATGGCATCAGGGTGACAATTCCAAGATTTACGTAGTGTGCTCTAGAAAGGACTCTCAGGGCAGCAGCTGGAAACTTTTTTCACAGATTGGTTAGAGGTGGAAGGCACTTCTGGAGGTCATGTGCTCGAGTTTCTCAAGGCCATGTTTAGATGACTTTCTGAGTAACTCCAAGGATGGAAACTCCACATGCCAGTGAGGCCAGTGTTAATTCACCCTCAGATTGAGAAAATGTTGCCTGGTGTTCAGAAGGAAACTGCTGAGTTTCAATTGCTTTTTGTCCCGTCACTGGGCGCTATGGAAAAGACCAACTCCATACTCTTTGCACACAGCCTTCCACTTTCTGTCTTGAGCCTACACAGTCACACCTCTCTCACCCTCTCCTTAAAAGAGAAATACTCCTATGTTTATTTTTTTCCATGGCCCTTTGTTGGACTCTCAGCAGCCTGTCCATGTCTCCCATTCTGAGGAGCCCATAGCACTTCTACATGGATTAGAAAATTCTTACTCATTACCAGGGTCCTGGTTAATCTTTGACTTGTTGCAATGTCACCCACCCTGGTTCTCAGGCCATGCCTGTGCTCTGCCCCTGCCTGGACACAGTGTTCCA